TGAAGTACAAAACTGTCGATTGAAGAACAACAACTAGATATACACTCAAAAACATACATCTAAAATCCAGAACGCCCCCCCCCCAAAAAAATAAAAAAAGTAAAAAAATAAATAAAATAATTAATTATAAATAAAATAAAACAAAAAAACAAAGACGAAGGTTACAGCACATCTTGTCAGGCAGATAACCCCCATTTGCAGTAAAACTCTCCTTATTCTATTATTTTTCATTGTAATCCTCTATTCTATCACAATTCTAATTACTTTCTATATGAACATTCATTGATGTGATTGGACCAAACCCTGTTTAAAGATAAATGATTCTCCCATTTAGCTGAAGGAAGTCATATACAGAAATACAAAACATGGAGTTGATGCAAAACTTAGAACAAGGGGTTTGCTGCAATTTACCCCTTTATATTGCACTGTAATTCCAATTAAGGTCGTGTCTGACTACCTATATTCAGCAGATTAATGCCTAGAAGGAAGGACAAGATAACAAAACTCGGCCTAACAAGAATCTCAGCAATGCAAATTATATGATTTTGTAGGAACCTACTTCCTTTACACTTATGAAATGGACAATATAATGAAACAAGATGTTTGTTAGGTCTACAATCAAATTCGGTTAGCAAACTATCTGTTAAGACAACTCAAAGTTACAATTTACTCTCTTTAGGGAAAGGCCCCCATGCAATAACAGAAACATCCTGGAACCCCATCGTGCCGCAACATTTCAGGCCTGACATGCCAGAATTTCCCGACCTCACCCACTTATCGAACCTTCATGATACTGAGAGAACCAAATAATGGTAAGAAATCATCAGGTGCGAAGCAAAAGAAAGGAAGGAAAAAAAAAGGAAAGAAAAAATGAAAAGAAAGGACAGTTACAAGGTGGTACTACCTGAAGATTCCATGCTTGGTTCTGGTATGGATTACTAAGCAGGTTTGAAGCGCAGCTTTTCATGCCTACGCACCACGCAACAGATAGTTATAAATATTACAGTTTTGATATGCTTACATAGGCACATGAAAACAAAAGAACTGTATCAATTTACAAAGGATAAGCTAGTCAAGCAACAAATATACCTCGGAAAATCATGCACAGCAAATTCCAGATTGCAATGCTGACCTTGTTCAGTTGAAACTTAACTTGGTGTGCTGTGTTGCGTAAAACTAGTACTTGAAGAAATGACATTAAAAAACGCAAGTTGGGGATATGACGTTGCTGGAGAGATCTCCAAATAACCATAAGTTTCAATTCGAAGGAGCAGTAACAACACGAAGAATATCTAGGATAGATGGCACAAGTCGAACAATGTAGAATCTTTCTGCGTTGGCTCAATATAAACTTCAATTTTTCTTGCCAATATAGGCTGTTACCTGCCACCAATCAAGATCTGGACCTATACTATTAGCATACAGCAAAGGTGTTTCCAATAAACTAATTGTTATGCCCGAATTTTTCAAATTTGAACAACAAACATAGTTATCAAGATTTAAATAAAATGCATGTATTAATCTCATATACTTCTAGTCAACATAAGTTCAGAAGTATGCTACGCAACCCTTATAGCTACACAAACTAGAAGATTTTGATTAGGAAAGGACAGTTACTGAGTGTCGCTCCAGACAACTAATCAGTATGGAGCCCTTAATTCTGTATCGAATTACTCTACTTTTATCCTATCAGTAGATAGTATAAGCATTTACAATCTGAAACTATCTCCCAGAAAATGGTGAACTGGTGCCCCATTAATTCATGTAAACTTCCACATGATTATATGATCAGTCAAGTTTGTATCTGACACACGATTTTGCATGTGTAATTCAATAGTACATCATAACACATTTAAGGCAAAGCTGCCATTCAAAAGATAAATAGGCTAAAGAGATCTAAATGTTGAGAATTCTACATGAGCCAATCTGACATTTAAGAGGCCCAGAAAGGTCAGAATTGCGACTTCTTAAATGACATAATCATTAGGCACGAATCAAATTATGAATCAAGCAAATAAGTGTAAGGACTAAGTCTTCTTTCTCCATTCTCTTTTGCAATAATGGTGATCAAGTACGAAATAGATGCAAGCCTTACCAAGGAAGCAAAGAATCATTCAGCATCCAATAAGATGACAAGTGTGAGGTTTCGGTCACATATGAGACCTGACAACAGTCGAGATTGAGTGAAATTGTCAAGACTTCCTAACACTTGAGGTTTTTACATTCGCGGATCAGACAAGATTATTCATTAATCATGCAAGGTGACAGGACCATACTTTTCTATTATGAAACTCAGCCAGATGAGTTTGTAACAGCTTCGGTCCGGAAAACACCGATCTATAGAGAATACCTCTTGGAGTTAAAGGCTCTGAAACAAGGCAATGCACCAATTAGCAATCAGCCAGTGCACCAATTAGCAATCAGCCAGTGCAGTAGATGGATCATGGAATAAAAGTTTAAAAATAAAGAATAAAAGAAAAATATAAACACCCTAGATGCCAAGCAAGGAAAAATTTACATCTCCAGAACCAAGTCACCTCCCTTAGTCTTGTTAATGCGAAAGAAATCAGGTTAAAAAGAGGTGCATCTCAGAGCGACCTCAATCCGGTCAATATAGAGTGGAAATCTTTAACTAACCTATTGATACGCTTCTAGGATAATCAGTTGGCAATTATGAAAAACGTGCAAAGGATATCCTAAAGATGGTGGTATTTTGCTTCTTGTGCAAGGGAGCCAAATGTCTTAAGAGGTAGTCTGGTTTTATATCCAAACCTGATACCTGGCCTATTTTATGGCGCTTTTCCATGCTTTGACATTTAAAGTTAATTTCAAAACGGACAAAATGCAAGGACAGGTTCTTCAATAAATAATTACAGTGTCCTTACTCCAAATATAAAATGGAACAAGTGTTCTCCTCAACATCTATAGATTTCATTATTCTCAATCTCACATTTAAGATTAAGATCTCACCTTTCTCTTTGAAAATTGAGATGAGTCTTCCAATCCTGTTCCTGTGTTTGGCTGGAGAACATTGCAATTTTTTTTTTTTTTTTTTTCATAACTGAACTCACCAGATAAAGGATGAACATGTGTATGCCAGGGTTACCACAGAGATTTGTTGTAGCAAACAGTATGCCGCACTTGAAAGGAAAAAAAATGAACCTTTCTACTTAGCATTAATAGAACTGATATATAGCGAGTGGACCTTCCTGGGCAAGTAGGGAAAGCATTCTCGTAGAAACTGCAGTCGATATGAGTTCGGAGGCAGCATTTTTCTCTTGCTTCCTCCCTTTCCATTTGTATCTATAACTGTGGGAGGGCAGGAGCTTGTCACAACACTTGTTTG